TTTTCATTAATGTATTTTGCAACAATAAAGAGAGCAATGTGTATCATTTTACGAGATTTAGTCCTACACTTATTCACTTTTATTTGTTTCCCACTAAATTTGTTTTATGCATTTTTATGCATTTTTAAAATAAAATAAAAAAAGATAATAATAATAATAATAATTACAACAGCTCTATTAATTAGGGATGCTCCGATCAGGATTTTTGCAGCCGATACTGAGTACCGATTTCTTGTCATGGTGATCGGCCGATACCGATGCCGATTCTGATGCTTCAAGCTTTATTAGACATTTCATCGGGCGCACACGCCTGGCCCGAAGTTAACTTCCGGTCTGTGTTTGTTTATCAGTCTGGCTATGGCTCCGGCTACAAACGCAGTTAAAGTTAAGGTGATGAGTAGACTGAAGTTGGGCTCAGGTGGTTGTGCTGTGGGATGTTTCCCATACATTTATTTATTTGTGGCGATCGCCACAATATCAAAACTGACGGATTTTACAAAAGGCTTCGTTGAATAAACATGAGCACGTACAAAAATCAAAACGAGGCACGGGTGTTTTTATATCACTGTATTTCTGAAGGAAGACTATCTTTAGAAAATTTTCGATGTCATTACCATTTCATCTTGCATGTTATATGCCTGATAAAGCAGCGTTAAATTTTTTGTAAGAATTTGACAAAAGATGACATACTTTTAATAAAGTTAGAGGAGTCAAACATCACCTCGTAATGGGAAGGCTACTTTTTGATAACATTTTGGATAATTGTTTAGAAGGTGCTCCTAAAATTTTGAACGTGCTCCTACATTTTTTACGTTAGGAGCACAAGTGCTCCTAAAAAGAAAAGTAAGCGTAGAGCCCTGTGTGCATGTATTACTTTGACCCAGTGGCTGCTCCTGCACACACACACACACGCTCATGTCACATGCGTGTGTTTGAGGATGATGTTGATGTCACGCATGTCTCCTCTCTCTCTCCCAGTGTGTTTGCTGTAGTATTGTGCTGTGCTTGCGTCAGTGGTTTTCCCCTGGCCGAGGGTCAGCTGGACGTCTCTCTGCTGTGTGTTGTAACAGCTGTGTACTCTCAGAAACTCCCACAATTCCTCCAGCTCTTCTCTTTCAGCCCATCTTGAGGGAATGTTGCGCTCATGAGCGTCCTGGTGAACCTGAGGTGTGTGTGTGTGAGATTTGAGCACACGTGCAGTGGATCTGATTCAGAATCAGGAGAGTGCCGTGTTTCTTTTTGGCGGGAATGAAAACGAGGCTGTGAGGGACTGAAGTACAGCAAGTTCAATGGACGTGACTGTTGTTTAACAACATGCCAAAACAAAAACTTCATAAAAACAATGCCATGTGATCTAGGACAGTGTTTTCATCTGTGTAACATTGGTTATGGTGTTGATCCTGACTCAGGCCTGTACTGACATTATAGCGGCCCAGGATGGGATCTGCAGATGTTTTCACACACTGACCTGCAGATTTCTCTCATGGTTTGAACGTGAAGGATGTGAGTTATTGACCGGTTTCAGTGTTGCTGATGTCATCGAGCCGGCAGCTGATTGGTCTGTCAGCAGCTGCTGATGTTCCTGCAGTGCATCGTGGGTCGTCTCATGAGTGCTGCATTGTGTGTTTGTTCAGCTTGTGTTGTGTGTCAGTGGATCTCAGACACTCTGTACTGCCTGTTTGCTCATGGTGGGGTTTGATTCAACATGAAAGAGTGTTTTGATGCTTTTCATTCTTCACTGATTCTCTGTCTCTCACAGTCTCAGACTCCCCCACATGATTTTTTTTTCATGACATTGCAGTTTTCACACCCACTGTCTGCTCTCAGAAATAATACACTTTTTTTTAAGTTGCTGTGCCTTAAGAAACATGTAGCTAACCGTTCCTCAGTGCTGATATATGGCTCTATGAAAATATAAAATGAATAACTTTTATTTAACTATGTTTATTTTTTTTCTGGATTCCATTTTAATGGTTAAATCAAACAAAAAAAAATCCATTTTATTTTCCAAAATTTCAATTTTTCTAGATTCCATATAATGGTCTAGGGCTGTAGCTATCGATTATTTTAGTAATCGAGTATTAGGGATGCACCGAATGTTCGGCAACTGAAATTATTCGGCCGAAAATAGCAAAAAAAGCTCTTTCGGTTTCAGGAATAAGCGAAAAGACCGAATAAATTGTAGCGAACAATAATATGACAATAGTAAGCAGCGCAGAGTGAGAGGCGCGCACTCTTTATTATGCAGCACACACGTCAGCGGTGTGGAAGCATTTAAACTGTCGGAGAAAGAGGCAATAATCATTACAAGCACGACAGAGAGACTGTTTAGGACTGCATCGCATGTCTTCAATGAGAAGAGGAAGGGCTGATTGTTGCTGGTTACTGTATGATGATTGAAATCGCGAAATGGCCTTAAACAGTTAGTAAATAAACTGCAGAACGTTATGTTTTCTAATACACGCGCGCATTGCATGTATTCTGACAGCGCTGCACGAGCTCGCAGCAGATCTGCTTGTTAACCAGGGTTCAAAGTCCAAAGCGCGAGGAAAATCTGCGCTGATACAGTCGTCCGTTGCTCACTCACATTTTTATGAATTTTTACAAGGCATGTGACAATGCGATACGTACGACGTATTCGTAATGAGACTCATTTATAAATCTGTTATCAACAAAAATAAGCATTGAGGTCTTCCTGCGCGTTTCCGCCAAAATAAAAGTTGAGAAAAAGCAAGAACTCTTATCAACATTCATAAATGTTAGTATTGTAATGTTACTGTTGTTCTGTAAAAGAAAAGAAAAAGTAAGACAATAATAATGACAATAATCATTACAACAGCTCTTTTTTAATACATTTATTATAACATTCACACATAGTGTTCAAATTAGGATCTGTAATATTTTCTAATGTTTTAAAAGAAGTCTCTTCTCAGCAAGGCTGCTTGTAATTGTACAGTAAAAAAAAATAAAAATGCATGCCTGATTCAAGAAGGGGGTCTGATGGCCAAAAATTATTATTTTACTAACTTATTAATTTGAAGTTAAATTGTGCTTTGTTGGTATAGTGTCTGCTAGAATGTTAAAAATGTTCAGTGTTAAAGGTCCCATATTGTACACCTTTCTGGAGTTTTATTTTAGGTTTTGATGTCCTTAAGAATATATATTTGTGGTATAAGTACCAAAAACCATCTCAATATATTTTTACAGCTCCTCTCTCAGGAGCTCTGCTGTCTTTTTTTTTTCTACGAAAAGGTGCACAACAGATTTACTGTTTAAATGAAAACAGATGTGAAAAAGATATGTAAAAAGTGTATTCCTTTTATTATTACTTATATTAATAATAATAATAATAATACTTTGAGAAGTATATTCTACCGTACAATAGTAATATTTGTGTCACCATTTCTTTAAGTCACAGTATATGAAGCTGCAGCTCTCATTCACACAGAGACACACAGGACAGCTGGACTTCATATTCAATAGCAGTGTTTTTGAGCTTTAATATTCACAGACACTAGTCCATATCGTCATGCCAAACTCCATGACATTCCATGCTGTATTGTAAATTCCCTTCTGGATTCTGGACTGGATTCCATTCGTGCTTTCTGTATTGTGGAAATCATAGGGCCCTGCATACAGCCACACATTTGCTGTCATATCCAATAGAAAATACAGCTGTATCAGATATACATTCTAACAATCATAACGGTCACACATCAGGGATCTGGAAATAAACTATTGTTTCTAACATAGAGATTCTTCAGCATTCATCATTAGTTTACAATCACGGTTGTGTTTAATAAATCGATACTATTATACAAAGTATATGAAACAAAGTACTATATGAAAAAGTATTGTAGCATTTGGCTTTTTATTATTAGTAACTGTAAAGCAACTGCTATCAAACATTTCTTGTGTTTTGTAGTTTAGTGTGTGGAAGGTGTTCTGAGTAGGGTTGGGTATCGAAAACCGGTTCCATTTTAGAACCGGTTCCAAATTTCCAAGAACCGGGTTTTCGATAAGACGCCTGCATTTCGATTCTGCTTAACGATTCCTGCGTTCGCATTTTAATGTGATTAAAAACGATTTAAGTGCAGGAACGGAAAGAACGTGCAACCTGTTTGCGTGCAGCGCACACGAAGAGAACAGAGGTCGCGGTACGGGTTCCCGGTTTGTGTCCGTTCTCGAACCGCTCCGTGTATTTCCACTGTAGAAAAGGTTGTTCCGGGCCGAAACTGACTTCTTTCATATTTGTCGAGACCAATATGCAGAAAACTATGTTAGTATATCATCATAAACACAGCCGTTTTTATCTTACGTGAACGTAAACAGATGAGAAAGAAAACACACATGTACAGTGTTTTTAGATCTGCGTGCGTTCGGTGTTAAAGAGACAGCTGCCTAATAAACGCGCTGCCTGTCATTAATGTTAATCAAAGAACAAAAGAAAATCATTCACTGATCTTGACTGAATATATTTAATAGCTTTAATTGATTAATCTATATTTTATTTATGAAAAGAAAACTATGCAGTTTTTAAACTTTTAATTACAGTTTCTGTACCTGAAATTTTGCTCAGTTGTATTTATTTATGATATTGCTAATTTATTTGTTTGTTCCTATCTCATTACTGACTGTTTACTTGTCTTTAACACTTTAATATTTGAAATGTATATTAATCTAGTTGTTTTTGCTGTGGTATTTTTTTCAAAGCATGGGCAAAATTCCTCTTTGCTCGTGTTATTCAGCTGCAACAGAATGCTTTGTAAAAAGACAATAAATGTTTGACATCTAAATGTTTGACTTAATTTTTTTTATATTGGATTTTTTATCTTATTGGAATTGAAACTAGGAATCGATAAGCAGAATCGGAATCGGAATCGATAAAATTCAAACGATACCCAACCCTAGTTCTGAGTCTCTGTGTGTTTTCCGCAGATTTGATCTGAGATGATGAACTCAGTCTTTAAAGACTGGCGTGTTGTTTGTGTGTCTGTTAGTGTGCCGGGCATGATGACGACAGAGGTGGGATCAGAGACAGACGTGAAGAAGGAACCGGAGAAGGTTCCTGAAGTCCAGCAGCAGACAGACCAGCCCGACAAACCCGCTGAGAGCAACGACCAGCCGCAGGTAGAGCAGATGTCAATGCATGCTCTCTAATCAGCCAGAGCAAAGCTACACAATACTCGGCATCTCAGCGTAGTAAATAATGTGAGCAGAACCACATGAACACATGAGTGTGTGTAATAAATACTGTATTACAGGGCTCTATGCTTATTTTTCTTTTTAGGAGCACTTGTGCTAATTTAAAAAATGTAGGAGCACAGTCAAAAATTTCAGGAGCACCTTCTAATCAATCAAATATTCTGATTAAAAAATTAGCCTTTCCGTTGCAAGGTGATATTGGACTCTTTAAAGTGATTTACAGGGAATTTGTAATGGCATTTTTCTAACTTTGTTAAAAGTATGTCAGCTTTTATGTCAAATTAAAAAATATAATAATTTATAAGCTTTTTGAAATTTCTAATTAAAACAACAAAATAAAGACAAGTAGAATAAGAAGTATAATAAGAATAACTTACCAATCAAATGAAATAAGTATTATACCTGAATACAACAGTTCAAATATCAATGTCGTAACGAGTAGAGAGAGCCTTAAATAATGTTTATCGCCATCTTTCCGCCTGTTATGTGTAGAGTTAATTTTTACACACAAGAATCAAATTCAACGTGGACACGCAAGCGGTTGCCGTGGTAATGAACAACCTGCTTGTTAAAGCGAATGCAATTCTGTATCTGAGGCAAAATTACGAAATATTGAGAATGCAACAGCCCGTATTATATTTTTTAAATTAAACGATTGGACACTGATCGGAACCAGCTGTTATAACCTCCTCTGATTCGACACGTCTCTCAGATTGATGTTTAAATTAACCGGTCACATGTAATGATGCAGTGACAGGCGAGCGTGTGTCAGTCTGGCCTAGAGTTAAATACGGTGAAAAATTGAAGGGGGTCTGAATACTTTCCGTACCCACTGTAGTTTAAACTTCTTAGTCAGCATTAACAGTAGCTGATGTTCAGTTTGTATACTGCTGCTCTCCTTCTAGTCACTTTTGAACTCTTCCCTCCCTAAATTTAAAGCTCCAGGTGAAGGGTTGCCAGATACCAGGGAACACATTTAAACAATATAACTAGTATTAATAGTATTCTACAAAATTAAAAAGAAATAAATGCAATTGATTATGGATAGAATTTTTCAATATAAAATATTTAGATATTATAAACTGGTTGAAGTAAAACAATAGCATGAGATGCAAAAATAATTCAGAAACACCTTATTTAACGTTTAATTGATCAATTCCATTGATCAGAAAAGACAGTGAAGTACCTTTGAAAGTAAGTGTACTAACTTTTATTTACATCGTTTTTAAGCGGGTGGGATATGCACTAGACATAAAGCTTTGTTCACACATCAGCAGAGAACAGCATAGATGGATTCTTGGGATTTAAGACTCGATCCCGGTTCATCAAAATGAGAAGCGATTAAAGTCCAGGATTGTGCGTGTTTGCTCCTGAGCAGGAGGAGAGCCAGAGCGCCGAGGCCAAGAACGATCGGGAAGCGGCTGCGTCTCCGGAGCCCAGCAGTCCTCCTCCTGCTGCCGGTGGCCAGAAGAAAGAGAAGGGCATCTCCCGCTTTCTGCCTCCATGGCTTAAACGACAGAAATCCCAGAGCCAAGACAAGCCCGGCGAGAGCACAGTGCCGCCCAAGCAGGAGAGCTTGGAGGCCGTGAAGGAGGAGCAGGAGGAGACGAGCCAGCCGAAAGAGGAGGCGGACGGAGGAGGCGCAGCGACCGCCAGCACAGAGCAGACAGAGGAGGTGAAGGAGGTGAGAGAGGAGAGCACAGCAGAGGAGGTGCAGCCGGAGGAGAAGGAGACAGAGGAGGAGAAGTCTATCGGCAGTGCTGACACACAGGTGAGACAAACATGGACGAGTATGTCTGTATATATACACTACCAGGAGTAAGCCACTTTTTTTGAAAGAAATTAATGCTTTTGTTTTTGTTCATTAAGGATGCATTAAATTGATTAAAAGTGACAGTAAAGACATTTGTAATGTCAAAAGATTTATTTTTCAAATAAATGCTGTTCTTTTGACCTTTCTGTTTGTCAAAGAATCCTGAAAAAAATAAAATGTATCACAAAATGTATCGTTTCCACAAAAAAACTGTTTTCAGCATTGATAATAATCTGAAATGTTTCTTGAGCAGCAAATCAGCATATTAGAATAATACTGCATTGCAACCAAATGCAACCTTGGTGAGCAGAAGAGACTTCTTTCAGAAACATTACAAATCTTGCCGACCCCAATCTCTTGAACGGCAGCATGTGAGCGATTTGCTTGAACTAAGAAGACATTTGACTAAATCTTGGACTGAATCAAATGAGTTCATTTCACACTGCTGGATGGAGTGTTTATTTTCACAGTTTTTTTGTCATGTCATGTTCATTCATTTTAATCTTTCACTCTGATCTAATTTTAGTTGTAAAATTAGTTTTAAATGGACATTTTATGTGTCAAAACGAGTGTTGTAAATACAACTTAACCACTGATTTCTAGTCGTGTCCTCTTTTGGAAGGCCAAACAAAGTAGTTTCGCTTTCACGACGAAACACACAGCGGCTAGAGTGAGCGGCGGCCGGGGTCTAGAGAACGGCGCGGCCGGCGGATTCAACGAAGGAGGCTTGCAGCAACCCGGGCTGGACTCCGCTTTGTCCACGGTGAAAGCCGATCCGGCGATCCACAGCGCGAAGTTGATGTTATTTCCTCAGCGACCAGCACGGATCAGCTCTAGGCATGACGAGGCGGATATCGTCCTCCTCTGGAAGACCAAACAAAGTAGTTTCGCTTTCACAACAAAACACACAGCGTCTTCACGACATTGCGGCGGGGGCAGCAACAATACTACAGCGAGAATAAAAGTTACGCCTTCTTTCTTTGCGTGAACATTTGGGCGGTGTTATGCAAATCTTCCCACATCGTGACGTAGATATGTGGGGGCGTGTTAGAACGAGCCGTTTTAGGTAGGCGTGGTTGACTCTTAACTTTTATAAAGAATATCTCTTTGGATTTGAGACTTTAGTCTTTGCAATTTTACAGATCTTCTTTATGCACCAAGAGCTTGTATCACTTCAAAGAGAAAGGAAAAATTAAAATCGCATCATATGACCCCTTTAAGACAATTTTTAAACCTAAGATTATATTTATTAATTTAAACTTTTTATCAATATTTTATTAAAAGAAAAAAAACACTTGCAGCTCAGATGGTTATGCCTGACATTGACGGTGATTGGATTGTTTGAAACAATTGCATTCCTTTTACATGTTTTATTTTTCAGAAATGTTGTTGCATTATAATCAAGCAGTGTTCTTGGAGATCGTCTGCATATCTGCTGGTTAAGCTCATTGCTCACTTGCTGCAGCAGCTTCTGGTGTTCACTGCAGATCGTTCAGGCATCATCTCCTCAGAAAAACCTGCATGTGATGGGACTGTAGTCCAGATCAGATGCTGAACATGACGGAGGACTCCAGACGCGCTCGCGCTCGATTACATGACGCCGTCAGAATAAACGCTTCCTTACGCAACACGCTTCAGCCAAAACCCATCAGTCATCTGTCCATTCCTTCAGCATCCGCCCAGTGACATCATCCAGCAGCCATCCGCTCCACTGGAAAACACGAGAGCGCCCATGTGTGTGTGTTAACCTAAAGTGTGTGTATGTGTCTGCAGCCTGTGAGAGAGGAGAAAGAGGGCGAATTGGAGGTGGAGGAGAAGAAAGAGGAGGAGAAGAAAGAGGAAGAGCAAGTGATCCAGCAGGAGGCGAGTGTGCTGTCAACGCTCAAAGTCAACAAGAAGATGAAGATGGTGGTGGTGTGTCACGTGACCCTGCTGGATGGCAGCCAGTTCTCCTGTGAGGTGGAGGTAAGACACATCCATCCATCCGTCCGTCCATCCGTCTGTCTGTCTGTGCATATTAGTGGCTGGATGTTGTGATGTTGAAGTCATTCTACTTTACAACAAATGAGTTGGTAACACTTGCATAAGGTGGATGGCTGTTAAAAGTCCACATCACAATCTAGTCTGGTTACATTTCCTGTCCTAATTCATGTTAGTGGTCTGATTGTGATCAGCTGTCTGTCAGTGGTTGTGCTGTGTGGACACTTTCAGTCGTCATGTTGACCGTAGGTGAGGGGTCAGATGATGGGTCATTCAGTTGAAAGCTCTTCTCCAGTCTGTCTGTTTCACTGCTATTTATTGTATGATAATTTAGGGTGTTAATAGGCCTGCTGTGTAGGTGGAGATATGTGTGTATTGGTTGGATTTGTCTATATTGTCTGATAATCAGCACAGGTGAGATCTGACATGCCCAACAGCATCAGCTCCACAGCAGCACGACTCACTATGACTGTATCTGTCAGCAGTATTAATGTTGTCACTGTTAATGAAGGCTGTGTGGATGCTCTGTGTGTCGTGTCACCAGCACCATCCTGATCTGTTTCTCATGGAAATATGGACCCTTCAGTGGATGAACTAGATATTCAATGCATAAAGTATATGCATTATATATAATAAAATGTATTTATAATATATAATTAATATATATAATTTGAAATATTTATTGTATAATAAAAAATTCATAATTATAAAATAAAATCAGAGTTGCAGGAGAAGTGTAATAGGAGCTGTTAATGGATCAGTCATTGTGATGACAGGAGCGTTCAGATGTGTGCAATGACCTCTGACCCCGCAGTGATCTGGTGGGTGTTTTAAGTGTTTTGGAGGTCAGATCATTGGGGGTTAAACCCTCACTGTCTGCTGTTGCTGCTGGGATGTGGACATGTAGAGTTCATGCACACACACACACACTTTAAAAAAACTTAAACACACAGAGGTTGCATTGATTAGTGAAATGTAGGCTGATACTGATGTGTATTTGAGTGTAACAGGGTTATTTTTTTATTTGTTAATTTTGTTGTGTTACTTTTTAAATACTTGAAATAAAGTAAATATCAAAAACAGTAAACAAAAACCAAACCGTAAATCTCACACACTCACATGATTAACACATCCCTTCACACTGGTGTTTTTCCCTCAGCATTTAAACAGGCTCAGATAACCCCACTACTTAAGAAACCCACCCTTAACCCAGCACTTTTAGAAAACGTCAATCCCTTCTTCCATTCAGTGCAAAAACACTTGAACAAGCTGTGTTCAACCAAGTCTCTGCCTTTCCTCTCAGATAGGTCCTTCAAGGTATCTTGGAGGGTTGAGGTGTCCAAGTCGCAACATCTAACTACTGGGGTGCCTCAGGGCTCAGTTCTTGGACCGCTTCTCTTCTCTTTCTTCATGGCATCACTAGGTTCTGTCATTCAGAAACATGGCTTTTCATATCACTGCTATGTTGATGACACTCAACTCTACCTCTCATTCCAGCCTGATGATCCGACGATAGCTGCTCACATCTCAGCTTGTCTAACAGACATTTTTTGCTGGATGAAGGACCATCACCTTCAAATCAACCTTGCCAAGAAAGAACTGCTTGTGGTCAAAAAGCCAAAAAAAAAAAGTCACACCTCTGTTCATCAATTTGCACTGGCTACCAATAGCTGCTCGCATAAAATTCAAGGCATTGAAGTTTGCCTACAAAACCACCCCTGGCTCTGCACCCCTTTCCCTAAATTCACTACTTCAGACTTATGTGCCCTCTAGAAGCTTGCGTTCTGCAAGTGAACAATGCATTTTAGTGCCATCCCTAAATCCCAAATTGCACCACATTGCAATGCAGCTTATTGTCTGATTCTGTTTATTGTCTGATGCCATATTAGATAAGTGCATTTGGTCTTAATATGACAGCAGCCTAATATGCCTGCTGTTGTCTGTGGCGTTATTGTTAATCAAACAACAAAAGACAAAGAGAAAATGATACCTAAATGTATATATGACAGTCGTTTTTAGTCATTTTTGCTGGAAATAACAAGAGCAGTGAATGGTTTTCTTTTCTCTTTGGCTTTTGTTGTTTGATTGACAAAAATGACACAGACAGCAGCAGGTATTTTAAGCTGGTGTCACTTTGAGAAGCAATGCACTGATCTACTATCCTGATGCATGTCCCCCCCCCCCAACTTTCTCTTTCTTAACCGACTTTGTGTATATGAAAACATACACAAAGATAGGAATTTGGGATTTGTGAATGTGCAGAACAAAAACACGGGCTTTGAAATACTCATCCTCTGATTGGCCATTGCTTTCATGTGCTCAACAGACATGTCTGTGATTGGCTACAACACTCAACGCTTTAAAAACACACACGGTGCACACGCTGTAAATGGAAACCTTCACACAGTGCCAGATGTCTTCACAGAACACTGATACACACAGGAGCATTTAAAAGCATGATATGTTTATAAAGTGTTTCATTATTACACATTTTAATAAATTATAAGATATTAGAAAACGACATCTATTTATCTTAAATAGTATGTTAAGAACTAGTTAGACATCTGTGCTATGTGAAGGCTATCACAGTAAATCTAATCGTCCGAACAGGAGAACCTGTCGTCAGAGGCTGAAGTGAAAAGCAGTGCAGGTGAGTGTTGGGATATGATTGATGGTTTGGGCTCTCATTACGGGCCGCTCTGTGAGCTCTGAACAGCCTCGGCTTTGTCCCGTCACCGGAAAGTGCTGAGGCATCGCTAAGTGCCATTGTCCTGGTGTATTCATGCATGAGACGGTGGCATGTTTGCTCAGAGATGAGCGCCACTGTCTCGGGGTCGCCTGGACGCATAAGCCGCAGCTTCACACAAAGCATTCCAGATATGACGCTTTATGGGGACGTGGGGACAATGAGGGCTCTCAGGACTGCTCAACGACCCCGCATGGATATTAGGAGCGCTGCCGCACTATATTTTTGTGTTTCTGTCCTGATGGCAGGATAGAGTCTTGTCTCTATGGAAAGCGAATAGACGATTGACAAGAACTCTCAGCCAATCAGAGCGCAGTGACCTATATAACAGCAGGATGCATATGGCGTTATGTTTTTAATGCTGTAAATGCAGATATCCTGTCCCTGAGTGTGTTTTCGTGGAAGCATGTTTTCTTTTTCATGGCGGTGCAGTATATTGAGTAATATGGCCATCATGAGGAGACGGAGACCCTGATCTGGGCTCTCTGAGGCCTCAGCTGTGTTTGACGCTAATGCTTCAGGACGTCCATTCACAGTCACTCTCTGTGGTTTCTCCTGTTCGTCCCCGATCCTGTGTAAACCCTGCTCAAACATCCCGTCAGTGATTCTCTAGGACTTTACAATGAATTTATTCATGCTATTATTGAGTCTGCAAGTTAGAGTTCCTTCTTTTGTTCTCATTCATCTTCTTTCTTTCATCATGTTCTTTTAGGCTTTGGCTGTCATTCATTCATGTACTCTCTCTGATCCTTTAGTTTCTTTTCTTTCTCATAGAGCTAGTCTGCTCATGCATGTCTCTCTGAGCATGTGATCTTATAGCTGCTAGGCATTTGCTCATAATAATCCAATGCATCCTTCACTTCTGTACATGAGTAACAGCAGCTCATACAGCTCCTCCCTAAGACTTGAGTACCTGGCCGTTTATCTGTTAAGCCTATAAAGCCTACTGTATCATATATTTGAAATGCTGCAGATTTTTTAGATTTTTCAACATGATCAAAATCTGTGATACACAATCTACTCCACTCCTTCTGTCGTCTGATTGATAGTTTGTATTTTTTTTTCTCCAGTAAAAGCTATTTTAGTGTAATTGTAGAAACGTCCAGCTTCAGCTGCTGCTTCAGTGTCTTTCTGCTGTCAAATCTTGACTGATTTTTATCAAGTAAACGTCAAAATAACTGTAGTCATATTTCCAGATGAACACTTACTGGACTGAAGCAGCTCAACTTGATTCTCCAGACATTCATTTTTTAGAAAAGTCCCAAATCTGATCATCATTATCTTTTGAGGAACGTTTGTTTGTTCATTTCTCAGTCATCATTGCACTGCATTGCATTAACAAACTAAGCATTTAGATTTTCTCCCAACTGTTTACATTCACTTAAGACAGAACTGACCGCTTGGTTTACATGAATACTCACCAAGAAATGCATTTTGACATAATTGTTTATGAATTTGACTCTTCAGTGCACGTGCTTCCAAATTGAGTTTTTATTGTCCCCAGGAGCGTATTATGCTTTTATTAACTTCTTTTAATATCACACATCTCCTGCAACTTTATTTCCATGTTCATCCATATATCATCATCATCCTAGTTGTCACTGTTTAGTGGCTAGCAGTGCTTTACTGTGGTGAAATCATCACACAGTCACTTCCTTTACTCTGGATCAGGATTATCTGACATTCATGCTCTCCTCGTGTGTGTGTGTGTGTGTGTGTGTGTGTGTGTGTGTTGAGCAACACAAGTGATGTTTCTGCTCTGGTTTGTTGTGCCGACACCATAGACGCATGTCTCCACCCATGAGCACCTGCGGCTTTCTGTGGCCATCGACACGTTATCATCAGAGAGCCGTGCTGTGTGTGATACACTAGTGTTTGTTTGCTCTCGCCATTCACCTAATGCACTTCACCAATGCAGGAACAGCCACTATCGATCCACTGCAAACTGAAATCCATTAGCTGTGTGTTTGTGTGTGTGTTGTGTTTACAGAGCGTAACGTCTGATCTCTCATCAGTAAATCTGCTGCGAGTGAACACTGGGATCAGTTTGTGTAATTGCATCCATAACAGCAGCTTATGGTGTTCTGTGTGTCGTGTCATAACCAGACAGATTAATACTCTCTCTCTGTTTTTGTTTATGTGCGTGTAGTTGATATGAGACTTAAACTGACACCTGGCACGGATGCAGCATCAGATGTTGTTGCTGTCAGCCATTCCTAATTTATTCCATGAAAAGAAGTGTCTGACAACATAAATGCATATAATTAAAGTCTCCTGTGTTTCACAGTCACACATAGGCTATGGCTTTTTGGCTAGGTTTAAAGGGGAAGAGCACTTTTAGATAAACAAGGCAGTAATAGATGGCACTCGTGGAGGTAAGAAAACAAAGTTCTTTATGAACCGCACGGGATTGCTTGTAATAAAGATTTAAATGCAAAAGAAAAGGCAGTAGAGCTGACTGTTTGTTATAAGTGTCAGTTGTAAGTTTTAATTTAGAATGTTTGTGATAATGTAAGAAAAATAGTTTAAATGTTTTGCCACTTGCTTGAGCAACTTAGTATATCAATATAAAAGTAAATGCAAAAGTAAAAAGCATCGAATAATGTGTTGCTTATATTTATTGTGTTTAAACATGTCTATGAAAGATTGTATTACTGTACTGTGTAAAAAAAGAATCACGATGTTGAAAAAGCATTTTCAGTGACAATGTTTGGATTTGAACTCAAAATGGATAAATGTGTTTGTAAACGGCCCTGGATCAGTTGCAGACTCCTGTGTGAAAGCACAGTCCGTGCTACTTCTGCACTGCTTGCGTACCGCACATAGACTGCATACGCACTGCAAACGGAGTATGTGTGAACCTCATATACAGCTCACCAAATCAGGCTTGCGCTGTGTGTAAGCTATTGTGCAACAACTGCACAATTGTCAAAACAAAAATGCACTCCATGATCAAATATTTAGGTGAGATAAATATATATTTTTGAAAAATGTCCCCCTCCACCCCTCAAATGAAAAAATCCCCTCTCACAGGTGTCTCCTAAGAGGGGAAATCATTTTCAAAAATGAAATTCAGGCCCTGAATAAATGTCTAAAATCTTGATTGGATCATCACTATAAATAATTCTACATGGCTTAGAAAAGATGGGTATCTGTGATCGTATTGACAGATACTGCTTTCTGTGATCGGCCTCAAAAACCCTGATCGGAGCACCCCTACTACAGTAATATTTAATATTGACTTGTTTGAGATTTAGGGCCGATAATGTGTGCAAAGCATCATGGGGCGTGAGACATAGGTGGATGGATAACTACATTTAAGTTTTTGTTTTGTTGTGGTTGCAAAAGACCTTGACTTGTTAAAAGCTGTGCATAAGCGCTTGAACGCATGGGATGTCTGACAGATGAGTGCAGCGCTGTTCTTTGTCTTCAGATGTTCCTCAGTGACTAATGCTGTTGAGCTCCAACCAGCCTCTCATTCCTCAGGTGTGTCACACACTCACACTCACGCTGACCACTTCAGCCCACTGTCTGCCAGTGTCCAACAGGCCCATTATGAACTGGCGCTTCAGAGCGACTTTGCAGGAATACTTTACATACCAGCCAAAAATCACACTTCTGTCCTCATTTACTCACCATTATAGTCTTTCTTCCATAGAATCTAAAAAGCTGTCTATACAATGAAAGTTTTGTTTGTTTTGGACCCCATTTACTTACAGGTTTGGAATGACATGAGAGTGAGTAAATTATGACGGAATGGTCTGTGGGAGTAAAGTGTGTTCATATCTTTCTTCTTCATTGTCTCTCTAGAAACGGGCGAAAGGCCAGTACCTGTTTTTTCAAGTCTGCGATCACCTGAATCTGTTGGAGAAGGATTACTTCGGCCTGAGCTTTAAAGACAACACCGAGCAGAGTGTGAGTTCACTCGCTAACACACAGAAACATCACACAACACACACTGACGTTATCCGTGCCATGTGTTCGTGTTCATGTTCAGTGCATGAGCTGATAGAGTGAATAAGAACGCCGGAAACAACGAAACACGTCTGAACGCCATCGTGACTCATGCGCTGTATTGGAGTGATGTTTTGTGAGGAACAGAGCCCAGTTTAAATGGTTATTAAGTTGTCTGTCCTGTGAGATCACAATGTCACTGGCTCTCCTCCAGAACACTGATGCCAAACAAACACTGATACTGATGTGCTGAGATCAAACCCAAGACTGTGCCGTGATCAGCAGCAGATCAGTCACATCAGTCTTTGTATTGCTGTTGGTGGTGAAGCGTGAAGTTGATGATAAAAGTGTGTGCGTTTACTTTAGAGGTGCATCATGGGATTGGCCAGGCATGTTGTTTTTCTAGTTCTGTGAGTAGATTCTGTTATCAGTCATTCAGTGCAGCTGATTGAGCCAGTAATCGAGGCCATATGTTTCAGACATGTCTTTGAGCCACTTTAGTAGCGCCCTATGAAATCTGTTTATTTCTTCTTATTTCTTTAACTTTTCCCCTCCTAATTCTGTTGTTTAATTCAATGGTAATATTTAGAAAGGGTGTTTAATCAGTTAAATTCATAAAGTAACTTTACTTTTATTAATTTTTTAACATTTTAATAAGAAGTTATGTTGCATGTTTTTGTGTTTTATGATTTAATACAAATGTATTACCAAAAATGTCGGTTATCAAACAAATGAATAAGACTAACAATTTAATTAATATTTACAAATGTAATCAAATGAAATTTGAACAATTACTTTAATTTTTTTTGTAAACAAAGTACTTCACATCCAATGTTGGGTGTAACTAGTTACTAAGTAATTACTTACAGTAATTTAATTACTGTAGAACATTTATATACAATACAATACAATAGTGGGTTTAACATCAAAATGTAAAGCCTAACCTTAAAATGCATGCTTTTTATGTACCCTTCTCACTTCAGATACTTTGGTGAGTTAATAAGAATATTGGTAACACTTTAGTGTCCAATTCTCACTATTAACCATTTGGCTATTAGCATGAATATTACTGGGATATTGGCTGTTTATTATTACTTAAAAAGCATTGCAAGACCTTATTCTAAATCCTTAATCCTTGAACCTAATCTAAAGTGTGACCAGAATAAATTATGTAGTTTTCTATTATTTATTTGAAAGAATTAAAAGAACTGTCTCATGTCTGTCCTTGTATCATTCATTAACTTTGATATAGGATTTGATATTCCACCTTTCACAGTAAATTGCATTTTTATTACTGGATTCTGGGATTCCTCTGCTTTTTCTGCATCATGAAAATCATAGTTTGCTTTAGTTGTGTGTATGAACATTTTAAAGAGATTCATTAACTGAGATTTTTGGAGGAATTACCACACCATACAAAGCAAAGTGCGCAATGTAATAGAATAATGCAAACAGCAAAGAAGTGTAAATGAAAAATGGGTTGAAATGCAATCACAAAGTATCTGAATCCAGGGTCAGGTTGAGGTGAATGTGAATGCACCGAGACAGCGATGTGTTTGAGGACTCTCTTCCTCACAGCAGAGTCCGAGCTCAGGTGTTGTGTTCAGTGCTGCGGTGTGACTGACTCCTCTGTGTTTCTGTGTTGCAGTGCTGGCTGGACCCCACCAAGGACATCAAACGGCAGATCCGCAGTACGTGCTTCTCTTTCTCTTCATGAGGTGGTCTGGGTGGGTTTGAGTAACTGACAGTATGACGGACTCCTCGCACACATCTGCAGCTGGAATAGCTGTAATTATCAGAGTGCTGTAGTGACGCACACAGCACAGGCTGGAGTGAGAGCAGACTCCTCATTCACACCACACAAACACAATCAAAACCATCAACAAAACACTGATGCCTGCTGTCAGCTGATTCTGATGTTTCATCTTCAGAATGACATGCGGCATATGTGACCCTGGACCACAAAACCAGTCATAAGGGTCAATTTCATCTGACAGCTGAATAAATAAGCTTTCCATTGATGTATGGTTTGTTAGGACAGGACAGTATTTGGCTGAGATACAACTATTTGAAAATCTGGAATCTGAGGGTGCAAAAAAATCTAAATATTGAGAAAATCATCTTTAAAGTTGTCCAAATGAAGTTCTTAGCAATGCATATTACTAATCAAAAATTACGTTTTGATATATTTACAGTAGGAAATGTACAAAATATCTTCATGGAACATGATCTTTACTTAATATCCTAATGATTTTTGGCGTAAAAGATAAATGGATAATTTTGACCCATACAATGTATTGTTGGCTATTGCTACAAATATACCCCAGCGACTTGAGACTGCTTTTGTGCTGCAGGGTCACATGTGTTTTTTGTTGAGTTTCATATTTGATGCATCAGTCTTTTTTATTTAGAAGCCCAAACTGAGCAATAATATGTGATTTGCTGCAGATGTTGATGTGTATATAATGAAATTCTGATGCTTGTAATGTAAATCAATGAGATCTTTATAACAGTGCAGCAGATACTGACATAAAATGATCTAAATATCATTCGTCGCTCTATATCTCCAGTAATCTGTCTCAGTGAGATGAGAATGAAATGCTCCAAACATATAGTGCAGTGATTGAGAGCTGAAGAAATAAAGGCTCCTCAGAAGATGTGAGATGTTCTGGAGGCTTGTGAAGATCATTCCTCCGCTGAGGAACAGTGAAAGTAAAGCTTCTGGAAACAAACGCTCCTCAAAAGATCCTGAGGATCAGATTTGAGACTCTAAAACATGATTGATGGAGAATCAAGTAAAGCTGAGCTGCTTCAGTCCAGTAAGTGTTCATCTGGAGATATTACTGCAGTTATTCTGATGTTTACTCGAGAAAAACCAGTCAAGATTTGACAGCAGAAAGACACTGAAGCAGCAGCTGAAGGTAAAACTCTAAACTATCAGTAGCTTTACAGGGTTGACGTCTGCTTTTATGGCCTGGACTGCGGGTGAGTGAGTGTGTGCTGAGCACTTGCTGTTCACTCTGAAGTGTGCCATTGTTTGACATGCAGTCAGGTGCTGTATATATGAGACACACACAGGTGAATCAGACGTCTTATCTGCTGTTATGACTCAGTCTCTGTGTCTGTAGAGCGTCTGGAGGAGAGCTGAAAATAGAAAAACAGGACAGACTGAGAGAGAGAGAGGAAACGCACAAGAGCAGCTCTCCTTCTGAAGGACACATCTATAAAAACGGCAGCTGTGTCCTCGTTTCCAGAGACTCTCACTGAAACAATGAGGTTGAGTTTGCTGCGCTGCGTCCTGACCTCTGACCCCCGAGTCAGCACACAGCACAGTGACCTGAACTAATTCCACTCATTCTGCCATGTGTTTTATGAGTGAAACTTGAATAAGGAAAATGTCAGAAATATGAACAGGAACCACTACTTTAGATCCAGTGACAAAGCAGCATTCATGTTTGATCATGACATAACCACTGACTGAAGATCTTACTGGAAAACAGCCTGCATATAAAATGAGTTATAGTAATTATAGTAAAACCATAGAAAAAATATCACTTGAAATGAAATAAATGTTAACTGAAACTAGTTGTTAATGCATCATTTGCATTTAGTTTAATTTGATGTACTAAAGTAATTAAAACTGAAATGAAATTTGATAAAAGCTATACAGAAAAAAAAAAAACTAAATCTTTAAAATTAAATAGAAAATATAATAAGAAACTAATTCAGAATATGAATAAAAAATATAATAGTCTAAAAACTAAAATAACACAAAATCCAGAGCACATGAAAGCATATTGCAGTCGAAATGAAACTTTTTGCAAGTTCAGTTTACATTTGCTAAACAGTCTAATATAAAATAAAAATTTGCCCCACTGTGTCCAGAATTTTTAGACTTTAGCCAAGATTTGTCATTTGAGCACATCATCACTAATGATGAGTTCCCAGCAGCATCATTCATGTCTTCATCATCTTTCTCATCTGTCTGTCTGGTGTTCCTTCGTTTCTCAGATGAATTTCTCAATCATGCGTACATATCAGCATGGACTGACCGTGTGACGTAATCTCACTATCCTCAATGACCCACACAACATTACCTTCATCGAAGTAAACTGAAAATCAAATCAGGACGTGTGGAGTATTGAAGTGACTTTTCTCCGCATTTTGCGACAGGACACACACTGCAGTGGTCAACCGTTTGACGGCAAACAAAAGAGCATGGCTTCAACAACCCCGTCATCTGTTTGCACAGACAGCATGACAAATAATTAACTGCACTTGAAGCTTTCAGTAAATTAAAAATGAAACACCCAAAACTGTATATGGCAACCTAACGAAGACAAACTATATGTTGATACGTGAAATTCTGGAGGGAACATGAAAGGAATATTCTAAAAGCAACTCATGTAAACACCTTAATTATAATATTGTCTTACTCAGAATAAGGTAAATAATTAGATTACTGGTGTCCATGTAAACGTAGTCATTGTCTTTCAGTATTGTGGTTCATTTCAGCCTTTTAAACATTCCTGTCTGAATGATGAACAGCATGAGCTAGTGTTGGCTGACTGATGGACTGAACAGACCTCGTAATCACTGCCAGTTCCTCCACCCTACAGCTTTACGGCACATCTGCTAGTGGAAGTTGTGCTTGTTTTCTGGCCTCACTCACTCACACGCTCCTGTGATATTCAGCAGAGCTGGCAGAAGAGCTGTTGAGCTGTTCTGCTGCGATTTTAATTAGGGCTGGACGATATGGCCAAAATTTATGTCATGACAATATTTCTTAACTTCGGTCGATATGATATAATTCTGATATCGATATGAACGATATTAAAAAAAAAAAGCCTCAGAAAACCTGCCAAGAACGCCCACAACAGATGTCTGAATTTGAATCTGCCAAGTCTAATGAAGTGTCCTCCTATAAAACGACATAATATTTTAGAAATACAAACAGTACAAATTAATTAATGTTCATCTATTATTTGTATTTAGCCTTCATACAAACAAGAAATGTGAAATTACCGTCAGATAAACATAAGACTCCCAGACGCACCTTTGGAAGGTATTTAACTTGTTCTTATAGCTTGAAACAAAAGTGCTTCAGCCAGGATAAAGAATATGAAAAGTGCTCTGAGTTGCTGCAGAAAACAGAAAGTAGGTTCCCTCCAGAGATACATTCATATCAAACAGTTTTGATTTTGAAATGTGCAGCGCTCATGTTTATTCAACAAACAAACTCGGTGATCCTCTGAGAAAACTAATCGTCCGAAAGTGAATGTGTGTGATTGCAGACGATATTTTTTTCCAACGTGCATTACCGTAGACGCCCTTACCGCGAGCATGTTTGATATATCTGCCTCCCGGCACAGAAATAAAAACATAACAATAATAAAATCAAGAGCCAGGTCATGTGAACTGTTAAGACTGGCTACTGTAATATCAGCCTCAGTTACTCACCTTCATTTCTGCACTCAATTACATCATGTTTTAATTACATATGTACCTTTATGAAAATTAAACATGGGTTTACTACAAATAAAAAAATAAATAAAACCGTTAAACTAAAGTAACCACACATTAATCATGGTTTTGCTGTACTTTTAGCCATATAGCTTCATGGTATTTGTAGTAAAACTGTGGTTATACTATCAATCCGAATGACTACGCAATGCAATGCATCTCTGTGACGCCCAGATGTCCAAAACAGACCCTCCCACCTCTGTAATAAACACAGAGATGTTAGTCCCGTCCGAATCGGTACAAGAAAATCACAGACGTCAGGGGATAAGAATCGAAAACTCAAACGTAGTTTAGAAAACTAGTCCCGTCCGAATAGGGCTAAAGTCAACTGCATTGGTAATGTATATTGAAATATCGTAAATGTGTTTAAAAATCATATCACCGTTACTAAAAAAAAAAAAAAATGACGATATATGTTGATATTGAATTATTGTCCAGCCCTACGTTTAATCAGCTCTCATTGTCTTTCTCGGTGTGTGTTGCATCAGACTCTCAGTGGCAGTTTGTGTTCAGTGTGAAGTTTTACCCTCCGGACCCGTCGCAGCTGACTGAGGACATCACGAGGTACAGAAGTTGGTCGCTCTGAAGGCTGCGGGTGTCAATAGGACTGTGGCGGCTCATGGTTTCTCTCCTGGTCTCTGCAGGTATCTGCTGTGCCTCCAGCTGAGGCAGGACATCGCGTCGGGCCGGCTGCCCTGCTCCTTCGTCACACACGCTCTCCTGGGCTCCTACACCCTGCAGGCGGAGCTCGGGGACCACGACCCCGAGGAGCACCGTCTGGACTACATCTCAGACTTCCAGTTCGCCCCAAACCAGACCAAGGAGCTGGAGGAGAAGGTGGTGGAGCTGCACAAGTCCCACAGGTCTGACAGCAGGCATCCTTTACAAATCTAATGCCACGAAGTCTCGTAGTATTACAAAAGTCTTCATTGTCATTTTAAGAGGTATTACATTTAGGGACAGAAAAACGGGAATCGCGATACAGTGATGATTAAAGTCCAAATGGGCTATGATTTCATGAAATAAATGTGAGCGCTGCGTGTTCAAAGTCAAACGTGGCACTGTTTCTGCAGGCCTGCAGTTTCAGAGCAGTTTGCATTCAATGAATAATGCACAGTTGTGCCAGGTGTTTGCTTGTGATCTGCTGTCGATGAATTATGATAGGGTTTACTTTATGATGCTGAAGATGGTTGCATATTTGATCTTGTTTGAATGAGCTGGGAGTAACACACAGACATTTCAAAATAAGAGTCCCTGTATATTTCAGGCTTGTTTATTATTAAACGTCGTGCATTATGCATTTTCTTTATGGACCTTATGTTTTTAGTTACAGAATAGACTATATCTGGACTTAGAATAGACTTGTACCTTGTCATAGGAAGAAAATACAAAGAACATTATTTGACGTATTTAATATGTAGATTTCACTGGTATCGGCAAAATAATCAGTTTATTCCCTTTTTTAAGCATATTATTATTATTATTATTATTATTATTATTATTATATAAAAAATCCTATATTACTCAACTAATATAATTTTTTGTATGTAATGATATATTAGTTCACCATTTTCAATACATTGAATAAAAATGTCTTGAGATTAATCTTGTAGTTACCCTGTTTTGCAGGTGAGTATTTGCTGCAGCCTGTTTAATTAAAGAAAAGGTTTTTGTTTTGGGTGTTCTGTAGGGACAGTATTAATCTGTGCAGGTCTTTGAAAACTGATGCTGATGTGCTGATGTGTCCTGATAACCTCTGCCTCATATCTCCACCTGCTCTTTCAGGGGAATGACTCCAGCCCAGGCAGACACCCAGTTTCTGGAAAATGCCAAGAAGCTCTCCATGTACGGTGTAGACCTGCATCACGCCAAGGTAGATCATCTCCAGACTGTCTCTCGTGGAAGTGTGCCGCTGTTTGCAGATTCATCTTTCAGGGAGACTCTATATTCATCAGCCCGTTGCTGTTTTTGGTCACTAGCAGTCCACATAAAGCACACACTTGGATACATCAGCCCTCTTATTTGACCAGCATTGCGGTTAGATCTGTGATCTGCTGACCTCTAGACCCGGCGGGAGCAGCTTCAGCTGAACAAACACTCAGACAGTGGGTCTGGGAAAAATATTCTCTTGCCATTTTTAAAGCCTCACAGGAATATCAGCTCTCTGGCTCTTTTCCCAGTGGGACTGATAGCAGTCTCTAGTCCACACTGTGTGTCTGTTCCTGAAGGTGAAGCTTGCGATACTCCGTTAGCACAGCATTGTTTCTTCAGCTCAGCTCGGAGAATCTCATGACCTTTAAGGACTGACACATGGTGCTGTATTAGGCAGGGTTTTTATACTTAACTAAAATTCAAACCGTAATAAAACACTTTCGTTACTTGAAATAAGCTTTAACTGAAATGTGACCCTGGAGCACAAAAGCAGTCTTAAGTCGCTGGGGTATATTTGTAGCAATAGCTAACAATACATTGTATGGGTCAAAATTATACATTAAAATTTATTTTATTATTATTATTATTAAAAGTTTTCTTTAATGACAAAAATCATTAGGACATTAAGTAAAGATCATGTTCCATGAAGATATTTTGTAAATCTCCTACCGTAAATATATCAGAACTTAATTTCTGATTAGTAATATGCATTGCTAAGAACTTCATTTGGACAACTTTAAAGATGATTTTCTCAATATTTAGATTTTTTTGCACCCTCAGATTCCAGATTTTCAAATAGTTGTATCTCAGCCAAATATTGTCCTATCCTAACAAACCATACATCAATGGAAAGCTTATTTATTCAGCTTTCAGATGATGTATAAATCTCAATTTCGAAAAATTGAACCTTATGACTGGTTTTGTGCTCCAGGGTCACAAATGATATAAAATGCATAAAACCATAAACTTAAAATTAAAACAGAAAATATAAAAATAAAATGAAATAAGTTAAACAAATAAAATAAACTTAAACTAAAATAAAACATAAAACTTTATTTTTATGTAATTTCATTTTCATTTAGTTTAACTTGATATACTAAAACAACTGAAACTAAATAACTGAAATAAAAATAATTAAAACTTTTAAAAAAACTAGTAAAAAATTACTAAAATGTAAAATAATGTAAATATTAATAAACAAAAATGATAGTATCTCAATGATACTAAAATAACACTGCTGTTAGTCTGTCTGTATAAAAAACACTTTTGATGAAATATGCAGGGATTGTTGTAAATGTTATATCTCACTTTATGCCTGTGCAATGTTTACGCTAAGGTTATGTGCAGCATAGTTCTGATTTTTAAATTGCTCACATTTCCAGCACATAGTCGTGATCAAGAAAATGTCACAATGCAGAAAACATCTAGATGTTCCTCAACATAGACATAGACCTCATTGTGTTTACACATGAATTATTTCTTATTTTTCTGGACGTGTTGACGTGGTTCTGTCCCGTGAATCTCTATATAGGCTGAGGCTCATCCGCTCTCCTCCGAGGGTCAGAGTTCACTGGAGACCTGCGGCTTTCAGCACTTACTGATGCGCTGATGTGTGAGAGATCAGATGTGTTAAAAGCCTCTCGTGGAGACAGATAGTCTGAGTTCAGTCTGTTATCAGCACTTTTGATTCCTCCCAGAGCACTACGGTTAACACAGACGGATCAATAATCAGTGCTCCACGGCCCGAAAGCCCCGGCAATAAAGATCCATTTCGGACGTTACATAAACGCATTCTGATAAGTGCTGGAGTGGCAGCAGTAAGCGCCTTGATGCATGCCATTTATAATTATATTGAGACACTGAAAGAGTTTGAGTTTGGAGTGATTTATAGTTATTGTGTGTAACGGCGGGTGTCAGTTTCTTCTCTGAAACTCTCTTTACTTCCAGTGTTACTGTAGAACTCAGCGACGAGTACAAATTATTACAGAAATGTCAGTAATAAACCGGAGCAATCCTGTAAAACATACTAAAGCAGTGATTCCTGAAGCTCTCAGAGCAAAACACAGCATAGTCCAATCTAATCATTCACACACAATCAGGTTTTTATTTTATTTGCATGTGACAGAAGCATTCTGAATGACATGGTTTATGGCTTAAAATATCCCGACCACATCTGAAACGCGTGTTAATTTACATTTAATCATTTATCAGATGCATTTATCCAAAGCGGCTTACAAATGAGGGAAATAGAAGCAATCAAAAAAAAAAAGTGTTGTGACAAGTCTCATTTTGTCTAACGCAGTACACATATATTTGTTATGATTTAATAATAAAGGTATTATAAAAAAATAATATTTATATTATGAATACTATACAAATTTGAGGGGAAAAAATAGCAGAAAACCTATAGGCTGCATCTGACATAACCTCTATTTTGGAATGACCTTATAAGATACAAACAAATACAAATGAAGTAAATCATTCCAAAATTGCAAAAAGTTATTTTCAGGTGTGTTAAATCTTAGATAAATTGTATAATATTTATTTATATATTTCTCATAAACAATAGAAGTATTATAAAATAAATGGTTTTATATATATATATATATATATATATAATTTAATAAATACACAAAAAGTTGTAATATAAATAATAAAGAAAATTATAAAAGAAATGTGCTATTCCTTATAGTTAGCAATATTGGGATACACTTTATTTTAACATGAATTAGTTGCATGCTACATGTACTTAACTATAGTCTTAACGATAAATGATGCATCATCATCACAAGCAACTAACACTATACCAAACCCTAACCCCAATCTTAACCCCATAATAAGTACATTTATTAATTAGTATTACTCAGTACTACTTTGTCTAATTATACTGTAAAAATGTGACCTTAACATAAAGTGTAACCTGTATTACTGTATTGAAAAGGCAGAAAAATTAAATGTTGGCCAAAAATGACGGTGAAAAACAACATAAAACAGCATACTGGCTAATAACCAAACTTGGGGTGATATATTGAGCAACCTTAATAAAATCAATAGGTGTCTACTGTGTGTGTGTGTGTGTGTGTGTGTGTGTGTGTGTGTTAATGCAGGCATCTCAGAGATCTGCGAGTGGCTGCCTTTATTTTTCTAGTAGTTATTCAGATTCATTCAGTTTTCACTGATCTACTCCTGACATAAAGCACAGATGTGTCTGAGTGTGAGCAGATCTTGTGCTGAAAGTGGATGCGAATGTCTTTCAGTTAAAGACTGCGTGTCCTCTTTTCCCAGGACTCTGAGGGAGTGGATATCATGCTGGGAGTGTGTGCAAACGGTTTGCTAATCTATAAGGATCGTCTGCGGATAAACCGCTTTGCTTGGCCCAAAATCCTCAAGATCTCCTACAAACGCAGTAACTTCTACATCAAGATCAGGCCAGGAGAGGTACGACTGAGCAGAAAACGGAGTCTGAGGCTGATGGCAATCACTGTGTCAGTAATACTGATAACTTGATTTATATGTGTGTGTGTCAGGCCGAGCAGTTCGAGAGCACCGTCGGCTTCAAGCTGCCCAACCACCGGGCCGCCAAAAGAGTTTGGAAAGTCTGCGTTGAGCACCACACCTTCTTCAGGTAAACATATCAGCAATACAACAGAGTTTTTGGTGAGTTGAGAGGCTTTAGGTGGCTGCAGCCTCACAGCCTCTGTGTGTGTGTGTGTGTGTGTGTGTGTGTGTGTGTGTGTGTGTGT